TAACATTGATAAATTGACTTTTGTTGACTTTTCAGAATTTTAATTAAAATCAAAGAGCATTTTTGAGGGAAAAATACGATTTTATCCTCCTGTACGGCAATTTCTATCTGATTTTAAGAAAACGCGTGATTTTCTGAATCAGCGCCAAACGCCAGTTGTAGCGCCTGGCGCTAATGTTGGCGTCTGGCGCCAATAGCCAGCGTTGGCGCTAATCAGATTTTGGGTGCGCCAGAACTCTGTTTTTGATATTTTATCTTTTTGGATAATTTTCTTTATAAATAACGTGCTAAAAACTCCGTTTTCATTCATCAACAATCATCAATTTCCATTAACCAATTTTCATTCACCTACAATCTACCAATACTCTCTGTCTCTCTTTTCTAAACTAACTTCTCTCAAATACAAAATTCCGCATTCATTAGATCTAGATACACCTAGCCATATTTGAAGTTACCTTCGCCCTAGACGTGAAAGGTTTAATTTCTGAGGGTTTGGTCCCAAATCTCTCTTTCAATTATTTAATTTAATTATTTTGTTTATTATTTTCCTTGAAATTACTAACATGTGTATTTTGTTATTAGAAAGAGGTACAAGGCATCAAATTAAGTACTTTAATGGTTTTCATTGATATTATGATGTAGAAATCATGCTTAGATGTTATTAAGATATTCCTAGTATCATGTCTCGGGTAACTTTAATATCAAGTATGATTAAAAGTATGATGACTTTTATGTTCTTCCTAATATTTATGATTGTTAGTATCATGTTAGGGCTAAATATATGATTTTTTATTGTTAGTGACATGCTAGGGTTTGTTATTAATCTTGTTAGTATCATGCCTAGGATCTTGCTATTTTTATTATGCTTTAACATGATTTATGATTATTAATTATGATTATGATTATTTTTATGATTATAATTATTATTATTATTATTGTGATTATTATTTTGTTGCTTGATATTTATTGTTATTGCTTGATCACGCCTTTTATGCATGTTTAAAGGGAATTTGTACTTGTAATCACGCTTAATAAGATAATTAATAATCTTATTTAGGGTTAATATAATTATAATTCAAGTGATCGCCAATAATAGTTTTATTTGTGCATTAATATTCAACCAACATAGATAAACAGGTTTAGAGTTAATCCTATTGATTGCATGTTAGTCAGAAAGCGCACATGAATACGATCTAAATAAAGTAGAGGCCTATTATTAGGGCAGGTTCAATCTCTTTTAGGTTGGATTTGTACCTTCATCCCCGAACCCTATTTGGTTCAAGACCTTATGGAGTTGATGATCTCTTGGATGGTTAAGGGGTGTAACCTTCACATCGTGAACGATTTACAAGTTCCTAAAAAAACTAGTTGGCGAATCTTTTGCTCTATCTTCTTTCCTTTTGGACGCCACCATACTTTAGTGTATGATCATAGTGGGGTTCAAGCTAGGGGATTAACGCTTGAAATATTCCCTACAGTCCCATAATTGTATTATGTCAATTCCCACTTCCTAAGAGTGTCAAGCATATTCACACATGCTTTAACGTAGACGCACTTCGAACGACGCCTACAGCTTCATAAGGTAGTTTTTTCACAAAATGTCCAAAAAAAAAAAATACAATGTGTGCAAATTATATTATATCTGTAATCCCCCGTATTTTTAAATATATTATAAATGAAATTATATTTTATTTATAATATTTATTTGTATTTTCCGGAATTTAATTTCAAAAGTTTCAATTTTTAATTTTGGGTCGAAAATTATTTTGGTACAAATTTCTTATACATACATTCATTCTATAATTCATGTCCAAACAATCAAAGCCTAACCCACTTTACTTTCCTAATTGGCCCATTAATTTTATGAGGCTCAATCTTACTATTTACCCTACACCACTCTCTCTCCTATAAATACCTCATACATCCCCAAAATTTTTCCCACACAAAAGGTTAGTATTATTTACTTACTCCTTTATTTTATTTTTCTTTTCTTTTTCCTTTCTTTTATTTTTTATTACTTTTTCTTTCCTTTTTCTTTTTTTTCCTTTCTTTTTTTCCCCTTATTCCTCCTTCCTACGTGAGAACTTTCTCACTGCTCCACCTACTGCCCATTGCTGCCGCCTGCTGCCACCACCGCCGCCCACCCGCCGCCGGCGACCCACCAAGCAGCAGCCCTCGTGGCCGCCCCCTTTCTCTCCCCTCTTTTGTTTTCCTATTTTGCTTGAAAGTATTAATTTTGTTTATGGTTTGATTTTATGGTATAAAGTTCAAATTTTTAGTATCAAATTCATGTTTTTGATAGGTTAAACTTATAATTTTCAGATTATAATGTTGATTTAATTTTCAGATTTTATAATTTATAACCTTAGGGTTTTAATTTAATCAAATTGGGATTTTAGGGTTCTAATGACTAATTAAATTGGGGCTTTTGTTCCTATTGTATTTCTAATGCATAATTAACCATAAAAACATGTTTTTAATGGAGTTTTAAGAACTTTTAATCTAAATTATATTGCTGGAAATTTGGTTAAGTATTAATTTATTGTTGTTAGTTGTTTTCTAGGAATTGATTATTCCTTAGGAGACTTTTAAGTGATTAAAAGTGGCACAAAGGATTGTTTATACGAGGTACGTACATGTCTACTTCGTTGTAAGTAGTATCATGTTTAGGTACCAAAGAAAAGAACTTAGTTTCATGATTAGAGAACACTTGGATGAAAATTGTTTGGTTATACATTTAATTAATTCATGTGCTTATGTTTATGAGATATGTTTTGGTGAATTGATTATGTTTGTATGGAATTATGGATGCAAACATGTTGAATTATATTGGATTAATTGTTTGTATGGAATGTTGATAGAAACATATTTTATTGAATTGGTTTGTTAACCACATTTGGACTATTAAAGGATTGGATTTGAATGCATGGTTTAAGTGGAATGAATTTATTAATTATTCCACAAGGTTATTATTTATTTATTACTCAATCATGACTTGTTAGTATGTTGAGTAAAGGTGGATTAAGCCGAAATGGCTAGGTGGGTTGACTATGTTCAAATAATTTTGAATAATTTGGAAGTTTAATGGAATTAAAGGTCAACTTGTGATGTGATCACCATTGTCTTAAATAAGATTAAAAGTGAATTGATGTATGATTTTTATGTATGTTCTACTTGATTGAGTCGGCTATTAATTAAATTTGTAATCACGAAAAGTGAAACATGGATGAGCAATAAAACTCTGCAAAGCGTGCACTTCTAGAGTATTGACAATTATGGGTTGGGGTACACGGTGGTAGCCCGTGGCTTTCCGAGACTTGTTTGATCAACATGTCCTCTTTTCTTTTGGTATTTACATTTTATTTTTATAATGAAAGTTAGATGGGATCCTAGACTAACTTTGTGAGAATGGATTCGCGCCCATTCTTGCATCGCGCTAAACTTTTATTTTAAATGGTCATTTGGGACCAAAATGATTTGGTGGATTGGACAACCTCGTCTATTGCTTACTCCAAATTAAATTAATTAAATTAAATATAAAGAGTCAAGTGTTTGGATTTGATTAGCAAATATGTTGAGTCGATTGAATTGTTTAAGTGTGGAGTCTTGATTAATGAATTCGTGTTGTATGTTTATTTACTTAAATTAGTTGAGCATGCTAGGTTTTGTGCGTTGTAGCTTATATGTACTCAGCTTTGCTGATTGCGTGCTTTTGTGTGTTTTCTTTTGGTCATGGCCTTCGCCTTTCAATGACCCTGTGATGATCCAATTATTACACTTGTATTATTGGGGAGCAGTATTGCACAGGTTAGCTTGATGATGTGAAGTTCGGGGATTTGACATACGCATTGTCAAGGGATTGGTGTGATTGAGAGTATTCGTTCTTTGTGTTGAACTTATTTATGTTTTACTATTTTAATTATGTTTTGGGATTTTAAATATTGGTTTGGTTTTAATAAGGGCCTTTATGGTTCCAATTTGAAAGCTTTGACTTATTGGTTTCTAAACTATATTATTTTAATATTTAAGATGGATTTCCGCCGCGATACTTTGATAAAGCCTTAACGTTTTAACACGTGGCGGTAACATGGCAATGGTTCTCCTCTATTTTTATTTAAAGTAAGTGGTTTGGAAAAGGGAGAATTATTGGGGTGTTACAAAGTGGTATCAGAGCTTAGGTTAGATTTAATTATCACTAAAGCCAATTTTAAAATTTTTAGGCGCCTAACGTTTTAAATTTAATGAGTTTTATTTAACTACTGTATTTAAAGTTAACTTAAGTTTTCAAAAAAATTATTCTATTCTATTATATTTACTTCGGCATTTATTAAAAAAAAAGTATTTGTTTATTTTATCTAATTTTTGAATTATTTATTTATTTTGAAATAAAGTTAATTAATTAATTTATTTTATTTTCTTAACTTCCTTGCTTGTTTCATTTTATCGGTGAGATTTGGGTAGCTTTAGAAAGGGCATATAGGATAGATTATTTCTTTCTATATGCATTGTAATTAATTCTTTTGTCTTTTAATTATTGTATGAAGTGATTATGGAAGTTATTTAATTGTGTATGTTTTATCTAATGTTGCAAACTTGATTGTGATCACCTAGTATCATGTTTAAGGTTTAAAGCAAGTAATATGGAACTATATGTGATGATTTGTGCTGTATGATATGTGTAAATTAACTTTACGTGAAGCATGTAATTATGTGATCATTATAATGTGTTTATTTAATTATATTATTTACTTAATGTTTGGATTTTGGAAGGAATATAAACAAGGGAATTATTTTATTTAATTTTCGTGTGCGTAGGAGTGATTAAAATTAAATAATCATTTCCTTTAAAAGTGATTTATTAGGGGCGATTGTGTGGCCGTGTCCACCTTTCTACCTTAATATATATATTTGATGATTATGCATGTGATTTATTGAGCAAGTGAGTTCTTTCGTGTTGATGTCGGCCTAAGAGTGTGTTACATTTCTAGGCAGAGAAGGAGGATGGCTAACAACGATGCTTTAGCTGATGCTATTAGGCTTCTAGCTGAGAACTTGAACCAAAACCGCAATGATAATCCCGATCCTGCTGGTGAGATGTTTAAGAAGCTTGCACAAGTCAAACCACCATACTTTGAGGGAGGTGGAGACCCAACTTTTCTGGAGAACTGGATTAGGGAGTTTGATAAGATTTTTGCTACTTTGAATTGTCCTGTGAATATGAGAGTGGATCAAGCTGCCATGTATTTGAAGGAAGAGGCAGATATTTGGTGGAGGGATAATGGAAACGTGATTCGTTCTGAGGCTAATTTTGGTTGGGAGACTTTCAAAACCAAACTTAGGGAGAAGTTCTATCCACCATTCTTAAGGAAGCAAAAGGCTCAAGAGTTTATCAATCTGCAAATGAACAATATGTCGATTACTGAATACTATAACAAGTTTATGAACTTGTCGAGGTTTGCTCCTGAAGTAGTGCCTACTGAGGAGTTGAAAGCTCAAAGATTTGAGCAAGGTTTGACTAAGCAGTTACAAAAGGACTTGGCTGGAAAGACTTTTAAGACTCTTGATAAGGTGTATGGGAGAGCAGCGCACCTGTACAGCTTGAATGTCAGGAGTGCACCTGAGAGTGGGAGTGTTGGAGAAAAGCGCAAGTATTTTGGGAATTCGAGTGACCAAGGTAACTCCAAGAAGCCAAGGAACGAAAATTTCCAGAATAGGAATGTTCAAAACAATGGAGGATCTTCTAGACCTAATGGCCAAGCTGAGAGGCATTACAACTGCAAGAGATGTGGCAAGGATCATCCTGGAAAGGATTGCGATGGGAACTTGGTTGTGTGTAGATTCTGTAACAAGAAGGGCCATAGGGAGTTTGAGTGTTTCTCCAAATTAAAGCAACAAGGGAATGGAACAAGTTGACTTCAACAAGCAACCAAGGAGGGAATTCGAATGGCCATAATGGGAATGGAAAGAACGGAAATGTTGGCGACAACAACTCCGGGAATCAAGGAAAGAGTGTCACTACAGGTCAGTTGTCTGTGATGAACAAGACGGAAGCTGAAGGTCTTTTGACACTGGTAACTTTTATATTCATTCTATTTCTGTTAAAGCTTTGTTTGATTCTAGAGCCACCTATTCTTTTATTTCTAGTTCTGTTGTAGTGAAACCATTTGCACTAGTTGAACCAAATTCGATTGACTTACTTATTAGTTTTCCTACTGGTAAGGTTGTGAGGTGCACCAAGATACATAAGGGATAACCATTGAGGATTAGAGAGACTAATTTTCCATTTGATCTTATAAAATTTGAGTTGGGTGACCTTGATGTCGTTTTGGGAATAGATTGGTTGACCAACGCACATGCACTCTTTATAGACTTGATGAATCGAGTATTCCATGAGTAAGTTTGTAGTTGTTTTTATTGATGATATTTTGGTATACTCGAATTTTGAGGAAAAACATGAGCCCTTGAGAGGCCGAGAATTATATGAGAAAGAGATATCCTGAGTTATTTAATGAGGTGAGTTACGAGGGCGTAACTCTAGTTCTTTAAGGGGGGTAGAATGCGTATAATTTTGCGCTTTTTTGGTAGATAAAGAATTTTATTACCAAAAGTAAAGAGTTACTACCCAAAAAAGTAGTAACTACAAGAAATGAAAGTTCAGTACATGCCCTCTGGGCCAAAGAAGCAACAAAACCAAAGCCCGAAGGCAATACAAAGACAACAACTACGGAACCTCTAACTAACAAAGGTAGAGGAAACCGAAGCTACAACCAAAAGTAGGTAAAAACCCAACAATCCAAAGATAACAAAAAAGGTGAGTATAAAAAAAAGCATTAGCTTAGCTTGAAAGCATACACCATCCGCCAACATCATCATAAAAAGCAGCTTGATAACAATCCCACAGTCAGCCTGCCAGGACAGAACAACAGCATGCATGCAGTACAGCCCAGGACAAAAGATCACAGCTATGAACCATCATCCAGCAGCACAAACATAAGGAGGCTCAAGCAAGACAGAGAAGCACAAGATGCCACGATAAAGGAAGATCAACATCTATCACAACAGAAGAGGCAAAAGGAGTCCTGGAAGAAACAGCAAACAAGGAAGCAATAAGAATATCATCCACCATACAATCCAGGCCATCAACTAGCACCTCATACTAGGAGACAACACTAAAAATAGGGCTTCAACCTACTACACACCAAGCAAGCTAGAATAACCAAGACTCACCCTTAACAACCAACTTCCACCACGCCAAAACAACGACAGAGAAAACACCACCACCAGCATCACCATAAAATAACTTGATAATACCCCATAGTCAGCCCTATTTTATGTTATTTTATGGTGTTTTCATGCTTTTCATAGCTATTTTATTGTTTACGTATCTAGTGAAGTGCGTAAATTGGGATGGTGATGAGTCATTAGTGTCGATATTATGACACAATTGAAATTCCAGCAACATAATTTTGAAAATTTTGAAAGGATTTTATGCAAATGCTTTGCAATTTAACGGATTTTGTGCTAAGTTTCGGGACGAAACTTCTTTTAAGAGGGGTAGATTGTAATCCCCCGTATTTTTAAATATATTATAAATGAAATTATATTTTATTTATAATATTTATTTGTATTTTCCGGAATTTAATTTCAAAAGTTTCAATTTTTAATTTTGGGTCGAAAATTATTTTGGTACAAATTTCTTATACATACATTCATTCTATAATTCATGTCCAAACAATCAAAGCCTAACCCACTTTACTTTCCTAATTGGCCCATTAATTTTATGAGGCTCAATCTTACTATTTACCCTACACCACTCTCTCTCCTATAAATACCTCATACATCCCCAAAATTTTTCCCACACAAAAGGTTAGTATTATTTACTTACTCCTTTATTTTATTTTTCTTTTCTTTTTCCTTTCTTTTATTTTTTATTACTTTTTCTTTCCTTTTTCTTTTTTTCCTTTCTTTTTTTCCCCTTATTCCTCCTTCCTACGTGAGAACTTTCTCACTGCTCCACCTACTGCCCATTGCTGCCGCCTGCTGCCACCACCGCCGCCCACCCGCCGCCGGCGACCCACCAAGCAGCAGCCCTCGTGGCCGCCCCCTTTCTCTCCCCTCTTTTGTTTTTCTATTTTGCTTGAAAGTATTAATTTTGTTTATGGTTTGATTTTATGGTATAAAGTTCAAATTTTTAGTATCAAATTCATGTTTTTGATAGGTTAAACTTATAATTTTCAGATTATAATGTTGATTTAATTTTCAGATTTTATAATTTATAACCTTAGGGTTTTAATTTAATCAAATTGGGATTTTAGGGTTCTAATGACTAATTAAATTGGGGCTTTTGTTCCTATTGTATTTCTAATGCATAATTAACCATAAAAACATGTTTTTAATGGAGTTTTAAGAACTTTTAATCTAAATTATATTGCTGGAAATTTGGTTAAGTATTAATTTATTGTTGTTAGTTGTTTTCTAGGAATTGATTATTCCTTAGGAGACTTTTAAGTGATTAAAAGTGGCACAAAGGATTGTTTATACGAGGTACGTACATGTCTACTTCGTTGTAAGTAGTATCATGTTTAGGTACCAAAGAAAAGAACTTAGTTTCATGATTAGAGAACACTTGGATGAAAATTATTTGGTTATACATTTAATTAATTCATGTGCTTATGTTTATGAGATATGTTTTGGTGAATTGATTATGTTTGTATGGAATTATGGATGCAAACATGTTGAATTATATTGGATTAATTGTTTGTATGGAATGTTGATAGAAACATATTTTATTGAATTGGTTTGTTAACCACATTTGGACTATTAAAGGATTGGATTTGAATGCATGGTTTAAGTGGAATGAATTTATTAATTATTCCACAAGGTTATTATTTATTTATTACTCAATCATGACTTGTTAGTATGTTGAGTAAAGGTGGATTAAGCCGAAATGGCTAGGTGGGTTGACTATGTTCAAATAATTTTGAATAATTTGGAAGTTTAATGGAATTAAAGGTCAACTTGTGATGTGATCACCATTGTCTTAAATAAGATTAAAAGTGAATTGATGTATGATTTTTATGTATGTTCTACTTGATTGAGTCGGCTATTAATTAAATTTGTAATCACGAAAAGTGAAACATGGATGAGCAATAAAACTCTGCAAAGCGTGCACTTCTAGAGTATTGACAATTATGGGTTGGGGTACACGGTGGTAGCCCGTGGCTTTCCGAGACTTGTTTGATCAACATGTCCTCTTTTCTTTTGGTATTTACATTTTATTTTTATAATGAAAGTTAGATGGGATCCTAGACTAACTTTGTGAGAATGGATTCGCGCCCATTCTTGCATCGCGCTAAACTTTTATTTTAAATGGTCATTTGGGACCAAAATGATTTGGTGGATTGGACAACCTCGTCTATTGCTTACTCCAAATTAAATTAATTAAATTAAATATAAAGAGTCAAGTGTTTGGATTTGATTAGCAAATATGTTGAGTCGATTGAATTGTTTAAGTGTGGAGTCTTGATTAATGAATTCGTGTTGTATGTTTATTTACTTAAATTAGTTGAGCATGCTAGGTTTTGTGCGTTGTAGCTTATATGTACTCAGCTTTGCTGATTGTGTGCTTTTGTGTGTTTTCTTTTGGTCATGGCCTTCGCCTTTCAATGACCCTGTGATGATCCAATTATTACACTTGTATTATTGGGGAGCAGTATTGCACAGGTTAGCTTGATGATGTGAAGTTCGGGGATTTGACATACGCATTGTCAAGGGATTGGTGTGATTGAGAGTATTCGTTCTTTGTGTTGAACTTATTTATGTTTTACTATTTTAATTATGTTTTGGGATTTTAAATATTGGTTTGGTTTTAATAAGGGCCTTTATGGTTCCAATTTGAAAGCTTTGACTTATTGGTTTCTAAACTATATTATTTTAATATTTAAGATGGATTTCCGCCGCGATACTTTGATAAAGCCTTAACGTTTTAACACGTGGCGGTAACATGACAATGGTTCTCCTCTATTTTTATTTAAAGTAAGTGGTTTGGAAAAGGGAGAATTATTGGGGTGTTACAATATCCGCTGTTTTTTAATTATCAAGTGCAACCTGGTGTACTATCCTATTTTCAAATACTACCTTCGCTTCACATTACTCGCAGCAATTTCCTTTTTTGGCCGCTTCACATTACCCGCAACAACTTACTTTCTTTCCTTTTTTAGTAACCTTTTCCCTACATGTTTACTTTCTTTTGACTCGGCCTCCGCAAATTTGTTTTGCGAGTAATGTGAAGCGGAGGTAGTATAAGAATACAGTTGGATATCAAAAGAAATTACTTAAGATCAACAGGGGAGCATTAAATTAAAAAAAAAAAAAAAAAAAAAGAAAGAAAAAAAAGCGTTGCACCTCATCCACCACTCGTTGCCAGTTTGCCACTGCCACTTCCCTTCGAAAAACACCGGGCTTAAATGGCGATGTAAAATCTACTTCACAAATCGACACTGTTAAACAACAATGGCGATGCTCGGATTAGCAACAACAACAGCAACAACGTCAACAACAGCAACGATGTATCCGAAGCCAAATTCAGTAGTAAAATGCAACACAACAGCATCATGTCAGACCAAATTCATCATTTCAAAAGTCGCAAACCACAAGCAGAAACGAAATATGGGAAATTTCGATCACTTGTTTGGAGTTGTGAAAAAGGATTGGGAATTCTTGAAGAAAGGCGTTGATAAAAGTGTTAAATGGGCAAATGAGCATTTACATGTTCCCAAAATTGCTAAGAAAGTTGATGATGTTATTTGGCTTCGTAATTTGGAAAACCCTAATTCTCCTCCATTTCAGCCTCCTTTTTGGCCTCAACCTTCTTATCCAGGTATTTTCTCTGTCTTTCTTCAATTGCTTTACAAATTTATTGCTATTTATGATTTTTTATTGGATGAATTAAAATTACGTGTCGAGTGAATTGTGCTACCTCCTTTGATTTTAACATTTGGACTATTCATGTACTCTTTATGGCGAATTTTAAATAGAGAAATTTTGGTTTGAGCAATAAAGCGTGAAAAAGCAGGTGGGTCTAAGAAAAATAGACAATTTTTATAATCAGGGGCAAGAGCATTGATTTTCTTTCCAAATTACACACGTTTCATTCTCTTTACCATTGTTATTTCATTCTCTTTACCATTGTTTATGACCGGTTCCAAATGGGCCGTTAATGAAGAAATTTTGGGGAGTGAATGAAGAAATTTTGGGGAGTGAAAAAGTAGGGGTGTAAGAAAAAGGTAGATAAAGTCGGGGAAGATTAGGGGAAAGATGCAGTAAAATAACTTTTACGAACAGTTAAAATGGAAAGTGTTTAGATTATTTATGAATGAAGGTAATCTTAAGCATAACAATTAATATCGCTTCATTGCATGTTTTGTATCGTTTCATTCCAGTTTTTTAATGAAAATGTAATGAAGTAATAATTGTCGTGTAATTATGGATGGCTGTGCTACCTTAATTGCTTAGAGGGTTTCCAATTCGGTTGGCTCATTATTTTATATATAAGTAGTATCATATAATTGCAAATTTTACTAATCATTTGTGATGTATAAATACAATTGAAAATTATATAACATGCTAATTAGTTGAATTTGTGATTGCTTGAATAAGAGTAATCAATGAGTTTGGCAATGTATGAGATGTTTATCCGTAATCAAGTAGTAGGCAAGTAAAAGAGAGAATGGTATTATTGGTGGAGAACTAGGGTGGGAGTGTGGTTAGTTGTTCCAAATTTATGGTTGTACGTGTTGCTTTAATGAGGTGGTCCAGCTTGTTGATAATTCTTGCAATGCGCTAATGCAATATTAATTACGATTTTACGAGTCTATATGCTCATGCTTCGATTTAAGCTATGCTTAGGCCCTATTCATTTAAGCTACTGTACTCTATACTATGCCAGTTCTTGCCTCCTACTGTACTAATCCCTACTCATCCAGAAGCTCAAAAGAATAGGGCCTTAATGTTAAATTCCATTTGTAATGTGAAGCACTTGTGTCTTGTGGGCGGGTATGTATATCAAAAGTCACACTTGCCCTAAAGTCTAGTATGTAATGATTCGACTTAGGGGAGGGTATTATGGGTAGTTTAGTATGTTAGTAGTTATCAAATGTAGTATGGGCAATATGGGAAGTCTAGTATTATTAGGTTAGTAGTTATTACTTATTAGCCTTACTATAAATAGAAAGAGGAGAGAAAGAAGAAGGTGGAAGAATTTTGGAGTGATTCCTTAGGAGAGTTGTGACCTAATGTCACTATTTGAAGCTTTGTAGGCTAAACCTACTACTATCATTTGTAAGAAATTAATGTTGAATCAAATTTCTTTGCTTTCTCCTTGATTGTATAGTTATTAGTGTGAGTAATATCAATCCATTACACTTGGTATCGGTGGACATTTCATCGTTAGAAACAGCAACCCTCTGATCTAAAAAAAAAACGACAGACTTTGAGGAGTCAGTTAAAAGGGTTATGGAGGTAGCCGCCGCTTAGGCAACAGAGGCTATCATGAAGAGTCATGAAGAGGCTATCAACGACTTGCATACGCAGCTGGATAGGGAAGGCATATCGGGATCACTAGAGGAGCCTACAATTGTCGTTTCCACTATGTTAGAGAACGCTGCAACTCAAGGGTAGAGAATTGCTCTGTCACACTGGCACGAAGAGTGTGGAAGACCCCACTCATCTTAACGGTCGAGAAGAGAGCAGAGCCATGACGGCTGAAGGACACGGTGGCTTCGAAAACCTAGACAGCGAGTCGGGTTACGGAGTTGGAGCTGTCGCAAGGAAATATAAATCTGGTGGAAGGTAGGAAGATTTCGGAAGTAGTTATACTTGCAGAGGTGGTTTTGATGGTGGGCCTGAAGGTTTTGTAGAGGGTGTGTGGCTCGGGTGGCGATTTTGGTGGTGGAACTCGTGAAATTAGGGGTGTTCTGGATACTGTAAGAGGGAGCGGTGTGGATGTTTTTTGTGGCGGTTGGTTATGAGGAATTTTCAAGAAGGGCGGTGTTGATTGCAGTGGGTCCGGTGGTGGTCCAGGACGTATGGCCAAAAAGGTGAACATGTTTGTAAGACCACCACTAGCGGTGACCTCAACGTGGACAACGGGGACGGGGTGGCTTTGTGAAAGGAGGGTCTTGTGGGTCAGTGATGGTCCGGGATATTGGTGTGGGACACGTGAACAAGGGACTGTTGTTGGTCTTAGGAACATGTACTATGAGTTGCAAAGTAAAGGAACGGTGAAGAATGGCGAATTTTCTAACGGGTCTGGTGGTGGTTCCTTGTTCGGAGGTGGCTTGTTCGAAGGTGGGCTAGAGTACTTTGCAGGTGGTGGTGGAATGTAGGGTGGAGAGCTTCACGAGCGGTGGATATTTGGTGGGTTCCAACAAAGGAGTTTGACTGAGTCAAGCTTTAGCTCTCAGTGATAGAATATGTTAGAAAGGGTAAATTGGTCTTGGTGAGGAGTGGGGATGTGGGGCATGTGGCAAAATACGGTGACTCACTGATAAAAACATGGAATAACTTTGAAAATATGTTGAATGATGACCAAGGAAGTAGGGCCACCATCAGCTATTAGAATATGGGGCACGTGCCTAGTTCTTCCTTGGCAAATCCAATTTCATCTCCAAATAATGAATCAAGACCCCAACCAACAATATTCGTTACCAATATTTTCTCTATTTCTCAAATTATAAATATTCCTTCCTACATCACCAAAACCCGCAACCCCTACATTTTACAACACAATCTGCAGTTTTTGCCTTGTTTTGGAAGCCTTGAGTGGTGGCCTGATGACCTTGAGTGTTGAGCTATGGACAAGGTGGAAGTTTAGGGGGCCGGTATTGTAGTGCTTAGGGAAGGGTATTATGGGTAGTTTAGTATGTTAGTAGTTATCAAATGTAGTATGGGCAATATGGGAAGTCCAGTATTATTAGGCTAGTAGTTGTTAGCCTTTGTATAAATAGAGAGAGGAGGGAAAGAAGAAGGTAGGCAGAATTCCTTAGGAGAGTTGTGACCTAAAGTCACTATTTGGAGCTTTTTAGGCTAAACCTACTACTATCATCTGTAAGAAACCATTAATATGTTGAATCAAATTTCTGAGCTTTCTCCTTGATTGTACTGTTATTAGCGGGAGTAATATCAGTCCATTACAGAGGAACTCTCAATGAACTCTGATTACAAGCGGCAGCCCCTATGTGATATTATAGATTCTGTAAGGATAAGTCCTGAACTCCTAGTCATCAAATAAATAACATAGACTAGATTTAGACTAAGTCAACATACTTATTTCACATACTAAGGACTCTAGTTAAGATAGGAACTCAACAGCAACCTAAATTATTTTATTACTCCTAAACTGACTAGATTTACACGCCCAAGTAGAAGTGGTTCTCGGTTCTTATTATATGCTATGGTATTTTACTGCATCCTTTACTGACTAAATCTAGGACTATGTGAGACAGAAAGTTTACTGCATTCTTTACTGCATCATTACTGATTGCTACCATTTTACATGAGACAGAAACTTAATGTGCAAAATTGCAGATGATTTAATGTTTAATATGCTATATTCTCTGATTTCTGTCTTCCCTTATATCTATTCAGTTTTCGGATTTAGTGGGTGGTTTACTTATTTTTGGACTATTTGGTGGATTCTATACATAACTTCAAAATACATTTTCATCTGGCAGCACTCTCAGGGATGGATTTGTTGATGGCTGATATCGAAGCTTTGGCAGCATATGGTAGTTACTTTTACCGTATGACAAAGGTTTGGCAAAGCCCACTGCCTGAGGTCTATGATGCTGAAGTCGTTTCTGACTATTTTAATTGTAGGCCTCATGTTGTTGCCCTTAGACTTATAGAGGTATTGATGTAATTTATTTATGCAGATGATCTTGATGGCATAGTTGGATCCTGTCTGAGTAAAATACTGTTTTTCTTAAAATATTGCATAAGTTGCATGCCTAAATATGATGTGTGTATTTGGGGGTGGGGGTGTGTGCATTGCATTTTCTTTTATAGTTCTATCTATAGCTCTGCACATCTTTGGATGCTTGTGGTTCATCATTTGTATCCATTTTATTAATGACATATTCCTAAGGTAGATTAATATGTTGTAATAATAAAATTGACAAATGTTATTTAATTAAGTTGTTTGTTAAATAATAAGTATTGGCTGTTCGTTTTCATGCTTTTGAAGGTTTTTGCTGCATTCTCTTCTGCTGTAATTAAAATTCGTGCTTCAAGGATCGGAAGGCATGTCTTGAGGACTGATGAGGATGGAATCAACAGCTTGTCACAGTTTGATTTTGGAAAGGTTCTTAAAGAAACAATGCTTAATTTGGGTCCCACGTTTATCAAAGGTTAGCAGTAGCTCAGAAACATTTTTTTTTCTTTGGCTTACTTGCTGTTACATGGCTTTTTGGAAAAAACATATGGACTACTTTTACTGAACTTGATAGGAGGTTCTGTTTTAATATTATCCCTTTGCTGGATTACACTGATGCAGTAGGACAGTCACTCTCAACAAGGCCAGATATTATTGGTTCTGATATCTCCAAGGTGAGATGCAGGGTTTTTTTTTTTTTTTTTTTTTTTTGTTTGTTTATTTCTTGTTTTAATTTTTTTTTTTATAACTCTTTTGTTTTTCTTTTCTTGGCATTGTCATTCATATCAATGCCCTCTCTCTCTCTACTTTTCAAAGCTTCCTTTTTGAATAAGGATTTGAAACCAGCTATCATTTACACAGTGGATTGCTAAATACCGCCAACAAAATTTATTAAACCGCCAACATTTCAAGCAAAGGGACAACATTACCCTTACTAAAATCTTCCCCATTTTCTTTCTCTAACTTTATCCCATGATTTCCATCCACCACTTCTAAAACAACCACCACCGTTACCACCCATGCCACCATGTCGACCACTACAACCCACAACCACCGCATTAACCACCACCATCTACACCACACTGTCAATAATAATTACAGTTAATCATAATAATTATCTAATAATAATAAAATTAATTATGATTATTATGTAATAATAATAACAATTAATTAGAATAAGTTAAAAAACTGATGGACCATAATCAACGCTCAAAACCAGTTGACCACCACCGATGACCGGAGGTCAAAACCGATTGACCAGTGCGATCAACCGGTTTCAACCGCCGATTACCGGCCACCGAGATTTTTAAAAAAAAAAAAACTTAAATTCAAAACAAGCAGCTAATCGGTAAACTTACCTCCTTCCCCGGATTTCCAGCCATGCCGTCGCCGTCAACGACTCGACACCGACGTGTGTTCACGCCGCCACCTCCTGAACACCGCCGCCGCCGCCTGGTGCGCTGATTGCCTTTGTTGCGGTGGTGGTGGTGGTTGTGTTTGGGGATCTTGGGGGTTGGTTGATAAGAGAGAAAAAAGAAAGAGGAGAAAGATGGGTTTGGGTTTAGTATTTTAGCAAGGGCAATAATGACATTTCGCTTAAAATGTTGGCGGTTTCGATAATTTTTGTTGGCGGTATTTAACACCCCCCTATACATACTGCATACATATTCACTATCTTAATTTATTCCCCATATTTACTTTTAGATTACTGTTTCAGTTCAACATTCTGAACGATGTATTCACCTAAGTGATGCTAGATAAATGTCATATGCTGGCTGAAATGAGATGAAACACATTGTACCTTTTCTATATATTATGGCAAATATCATGGTCCAATGTGAAATTGCTCCTGAATGTAAAACACTAAAACATTTAGGTAGCGTTTTCTTCAACTAAATTTCACTTATCTTATACTTTCTCAGCTCTTTATTAGTCGACACTCTTTTCTTTTTGGCACACAAATTAAGAAGTGGAAAAGAAAGGATGAAGACAACAATTCCCTTACTCATCTCTACTCACCTGCCCTTCTTCATATTCTTGTTAACTTAACAACCAGCCACCTCCAAGATGCACCACCACTCCACCTTCATCTACTCAACCAGCATCACTCCTTTTCCTTTACCTCAAACCTTATCTCTTCTCCCCTTTAACACCCAAAAAAAATAATTCATCCTCCTAATCAACTTGTACAATTGCCCCATCCTAATTATTTTGTTAAAAACATAAATAAATGAATAATAAAAATCCTATATCTACAGTTAGTTGGTGCTGGAGACAAATTTACTAGTCTTTTAACAAAATCAAAAGAGGAATAACGAGCTTTTGTTGATGGTGAGAGATGATAAATTCCTTGTGGATGTCATTTTGTTTTCGTTGAAATGAGATGCAATGTGATCCTCCACTAGAACGATGAAATTGAGTGTGATGGGTGTGCAATGTGAGTCTCTTGTAGATCAACAAAATCAAGATCTTAATAGTTTAAGGTTTTGATACATGGAGGAGAAAGAGGAGCAATAGCTAGCGGTAATATAGTGAAGTGGTACGCTGTAGTGGAGTTAGGAGAGAGAAGGAGGTAACGAGTGTCGAGTGGAGGAAAGGAGAGAAAAAAGAATGTTGGCAGCGAAGGAAAATAGGGTGTGGAGGAGGTGGTGGTTGTGGTCGAAGTGGGGAAGGAGAGATAAAATAGGATTATATAATGGTTTATTGATTGGGTTTAGAGGAGAGAGAGATTAGATATGGGGAAGAGTGAGAATAAGAAAGAAATAAGAGTTTAGTGTTAAATTAACAATTTATTATAAAAATATGCCTATAATAAAAATGTAAAACAAAAGGAAACTTCCTAAAATGGAATATGTGTCAACTAAAAAAGTAGGGACTCTTTAGTCACTGCTATTAGAGCAAGTTTAGCCCCAACTCTTAAGACTTGGATGTGACATCGTTTTTGGTAGTCCCCATTGAAAATGATATCATCAAATTATTGTTAAGACTCACTAAAACTTACACAAATTTATCACTTTAGCCCCAAGACTTAAATATTTGACATATTATATGTAGAAAAGTGTAAAAATAAAAAAAAGGGATAATAAAAATAAAAGTGAGGTGGGTCCCAATCTCAAGTCTTAAGTTGAGTCTTGGAATTTCAAGACTCAACTTGAGACTTGTTTGAGATTTTTGAAGAAAAATGGGAAAAGTCTTAAGCATATGTCTTAAGATTCAAATTGATGATGTCACTTCAAGTCTTAACTCTTATCTTATTTTACCTTTTTTGAATTTATCCACCTTTGTCTTTATGATACTTCCTCCATTTCTATTTACTGGACATGTAGCCCTTTGGCACGTTGTTTAAGGAAGAGATTTTTTTTGAAACCTTTTAAGGAAGAGATTAGTGAAGATTAATATACACTAAATAAAAATAACTAGTACCACAACTATCTACTACAAAAAAATATGCTTAATATAGAAACGTGTCAAACAAAAAGTAACCTTTCAAAACATAATACTTGTCAACTGAAAAAGAACAGAGAAATATCATCTTATAAGTCCCGAAGGTATTAGCTATTATCTTATTTTTTTTTATTAAATTTATCCACCTTTATCTTATATTATATTTCCTCCATTTTCATTAACTTGACATTTAGCCCCTTGGCATATAGTTTAAGGAAGAGATTAGAGTTTGTGTGAATAGTGTAGAATTTCTTATGTTGCGACTGTAAAGAAAGGAGGAGGTATTATATTTTCTAATTAGACTGTAATTATATAATTTTATCTTAACTTAACTAAGTTTATTAGACCTTGTCTTCTCTGAATTTCTTAGACTTGTAATAAGTGAAAATGGATTGAGGAGAACAAAACCTTAATTATTAACTTTCCAGGGTGTTGAAAGTTTACCAAAGTGAAGGGATTTCACAAATCTAAATGTCACAACACTTACGTTAGCTTCTTTTATAAAGATATTAATGGGTTTATGTAAAGGAACCAAATTGGAATGTTTTTAGTGATCACCAATGTGGAATACCAAATCTATATGAATCCAATAGTAAATTCATTAATTTTGGTTTATGCATATGGGAATTTATCTGCATTTTCTTTTTCAACTTGTTTTTGTTTTGTATAAACTGCCAATGCAGGCGCTATCTGAGCTTCATGATCAAATCCCTCCTTTCCCTAGAGCTATTGCAATGAAAATTATTGAGGATGAATTAGGAGCTCCCGTGGAAAGATTTTTCAGTCATATATCTGATGAACCTGTTGGTGCAGCTTCTTTTGGTCAGGTACATTTCCAGTTTACAATAGGCAAGCTTATTTTAAAAGTTAAAAATCTCATTTGGAGGAGTTAAGTACTAAAATTATTCAGAAGATCACAAGTTGATATTAAAATTGATGCATTGGTTAGTTATATTCATACCGGTTTGATCAAGGTGATGGTTTTAATAGGATTTGTCTTTGCATATTCTTTGAATGTTTTAAACATGGGTATAAGGAATAAAGGATCATAATCCTCTCTCAATACACGTATAATTGCTAAGAAAATTTACCAGAACAATGCATGGTTCCTGCTCTTTTGTGAGACTGCTTTGTGGGATGGACAGTTTCTGCGTTGCTATTATTTTATGTTGATTGAATCTTTGTTCACTTGCTTTTTGGTGCAACAGGTCTACAGAGGAACAACATATGAAGGCTATGCTGTGGCTATCAAAATTCAGCGACCAAATTTACATCATGTAGTTGCCCGAGATATATACATCCTTCGTCTTGGGGTTCGTGCTGACTTTTTTTCTATATTTTTGACTGATTTTTATCAAGGAGTCTAAATTTTGATATTTTAGGTTATTTCAGCTTGGCCTTTTAAAAAAGATTGCCGAAAGGAAAAATGATATTCGCTTGTATGCTGATGAACTTGGAAAAGGCTTAATGGGAGAGTTGGACTATCGATTGGAAGCTGCAAACGCATCCCGATTCTTGGTATTCTTCTATTCCTATTTCTTTTCATGTTTTCTACTCTCCTTGCAGTGTATATAGATATTGTAAGCCATATGTTAGTCTTTTGTTCTCCATTTTTTTTGTGAGCTTGGTAGAAAGATAAAAAGACAACAAATCTTTAGATTTGGGATCTGATTAACAGACACACAATGATTTAGATTTTGGTAGAATTGTATTTTTATTGATTTAAGCTACAAAAACCTCCATACATCTTTTTAAAAGCTGAAGTTTCCATCCAAGATAGGTTTCTATTGTTTGGTATTGAATTTAGTGATTAAAAGGAAGATAAAGTCAAGCGAAGCTTAGCAAAATGTTATGAGTTGGGGAGGGGAGGTTATTTTAGATTATTATAATTCCCATACAAAGAATTCAAATTGTAATAATTTTTTTATTATTATTTTTTCTTCATGATAGAATGATCATAACCCTAAACTGAGGGTTTTGGACAATGATTCTTTCCATTCTTAGGTGAGAGACTTTTGTGAGAAAAACAGGTTTTCCTAAGTAAGTGTTTGCTGTCCCATTAGCCTCCTTACTAGTACCTACAAGATTGTGTCAAATGTGCTTCATTGTTTAGGATGGTTGTTATCTTTTATCTTACACTATTTTATAGATATACTGTGATGCAATATCATCGGTGGTTCTTTTGAACTTTTTGTAATTTTAGTCTGGATTGGACATATGTATTTACCATTTGCTAAGATTGGATTTTTTCGTGTTTCAAGCATATTAGGATTTTATAATCTTTAGATTTGTTTTTAGGAAAAAGTTTTACTTAATTTAGGACACTTAAGCATGTAAATCTTATCATGTTCTATTAGGTACCTAATTTTTAGTGTTATAGTGCCTAGTGGCCACATATATATGTATTATTAATAAAATCAGATTTTGGAGTTTATGAAATTGATGAGCGCTAGCTATTGAGGTTTAACATACAACTGAGACTATATGTCCTCATGGCTTTTCAGTTTATCTGTCATTTAATTTTCTCTTTTACTACTATAATTTTGTATCTTGTAAGCGCCTATATTGCTTAGACTTGGATTTGGATTTGGTGTCATGCCTTGACATTGTGTTGGATCCTATGACGCTCTAGAATTTATAAAATTTCACATAAGGCCACTATATATTGTTAGGATTTTCTAGTATGTTTAGAATATTTACTTCCATTTAGGCCATGTTCAGCACTTCAGCTCAATATATTTAATTATGTAAGGGCTTTTTGATTTTTTTTTTTTTTAACTTGCATTTAAGCCTTGTTCGGTTAACTTATTTAAGTACATATTTGTTTATTTCAGAAATGATAACATCAGACTAAAACCAGATATTAGATCAATTTATATCTTTCTATTTGTTTTTTCTTTTTGCTAAACATCTTTAATTCTGTGATATATAAATTTATGATTGTTTCACACTTCACATCTTGAGAAAGAGGTTAGATAGGTAACCGGACAGATTAGCTAAAATAACTTAAACACCAATAATACAACATGTCTCTTTTAGCGGTGTTCATATTATAATAGCTAATTTGTTTATTGACCTTTCTAATCACCTCTTTTAAATACGTGCCAATGAGATATGTTGCCCTAATCAACAAATTGGGGAAATATCTTGTAAGTAAAAATTCAAAAGAATGTAAAGACATCTCATTTGATGTTTTTTTTTTTTTTTTTTTTTTTTTTTTTTTTTTTTTTTTTTTTGAATTCATGCTAATAAGTTGAAAGTTTAGTCAAATTAGCTGTTTGGATAATTTGTTAATGTTTGAAGTTGAACCTTGGTTGAATTATTTTGAACTTAGAAATTAGTCTTTGATCCATCCTTACTTGAATTTGTATATACTACATATTATCAATGTAACACTAGCTAACTTTGTTGAATTATTGTAGTTTAAGAAATGGAATGCTATAGAAGTAAGGATTCAATCAAAAACACTTCCTGCCTTCCTATATGTAGTGACAATATGTGCTTTTTTCCACCTTTATTTGATAGATAATTTCATTAATTGCATTGTTTGTGTTTCAAAAGTAGTATGCCCTATTATTTGTACAATCTGTAATACAGTTCCCTCTAACATTTTAATGTCAAGTAACTTAAGTATGTTTCTGTATGTGCTCATGGAAATAAATCTTTACATAATTACATTTTACTATACTCTAAACTCTAGATAATGATAATATGAAGTATTAATTTATCCATAATGTATGTATATAGTAAATAAAACATAGGCCATCATATACTCTTGTATAAGCACTTCTGGGATATTAGAAAACATCTTAATATTCCTGGGGTGTTAAATTGTTATATTCATAATTGGAACGCCTCGCCTAAATGGATCTATAATGTGATTATTATTGGTTTAACATAATATTTGTGGTGAATCTTAACTTATTATTGTATAATATTCCAGGAGGCTCATTCATCCTTTCCATTCATTCACGTGCCTAAAGTTTATCCTCAATTCACAAGAAAAAAAGTGCTGACTATGGAGTGGTTGGCTGGTGACAATCCAACTGATTTACTCTTAGCTTGTACAGGAGCTAAAGATAATAGTGCTGCACCTTCAGAGAAACAGGCAGTTGAAGCGAAGCAACGCCTTCTTGATTTGGTGAGATATACTTGATTTATTAGACTGTTAACTTGATGTGGGGATTTATTCTTTTTGAGTGCTTGTCTGCATAATTATGTTTTACATAGTACAGCTACATACATTATTAACTTCATGAATCCATTCATCTAAGGGTTTGGAGCTGGTGCCAGTATGTTTTCTGGAGATATGCTTTACTTTAGAAGCTTTTCAGAATGGTAGTTGCTGAAACATGGAGGGTTAAAATCATTATGCAGGACTAGGGGGAGGTTTTGTTGTTTTCAAGTTAAATTTTCAGTTATTGGCTTATTATATCGAAGATATTTGAATTTATATTTGGAAAATTTAACAAGAATAATCCAACCTTTGCTGAATTCTCCCAAAATAATCCAACCTTTCGATTAACCCTGAATAATCCTAAGTTTACTACTTATTTTCTTCCAACAACCCTAGCAAGTCACCTTAGCTTTTGTAACAGGTTACCTTCAAAGTGGCATTTTCTTATTGTTTAATTTTTTTTTAATTGAAATTAAAAAAAAAAATTCTCTCTTCCCCATCGTGCTTGTTTTTCACTCCTTTCCCTTTCCTCCATTATCAGCCACCAAAACCACTCATCACAATACATGGGGCCACCACCTACAACCACCTCAACACCACCAACATCACCACTCAACACAACAACCAACCCACAACAATGCAAATAATACCCACAACATCTTCGATGTATGACCACCCCCAATTCAGCATCAAATTCAATTGATAAAGAGGGAAGAGAAGGAAAATGGTGGAGATTGGGGTTTGGGTTCTTGGTTGGTGGAGTTGGGGTTTCGCCGTTTCGGGGCATGGGTGAAGATAGGTTGGTGGTTTTGGGGTATGGATGAGGCCGTGGGGGTGGGATTGGTGGTTTTGGCTAGGTGAGGTTGGTGGTTTTAAGTCTGGGTAGGAGTGGGGTGTGGGGTAATTGGTTGTGGTGGTGGATGGCTGAGTTGCAGGCTGATTACAAGGGGTGGCATGTGGCAAGCTGATTGTCAGGGAGAGGAAAAGGTAGTGGGATGGTTGATGGGGAAATGGGGTAGGTTGATGGTGAGGTGAGGTGGTGGCGGGGAGTTTCAGGGAGGTGAAGGATCCATTGTTAATGGCTAAAAGCTTGAAATGGAGTTGAGGAGGGAAGAAGGAAGAAGGGGAAAAAATTAAGGGGGAAAAAATTAAAAGAAAAAAAAAGTTACTTGAAGTTCAGGTAACTGGTCATATAGGCTTGGTATAAGATAATAAGTAGTAAACTTAGGATTATTCAGGGTTAATCGAAAGGTTGGATTATTTTAGGAGAACGGGGCAAAGGTTGGATTATTAGTGTTAAATTTTCCTTTATATTTTGCTAATTTGCTGGATTAGTTGTGTTTACATTGAGGGGAGAATAAACCGGTGTCTATCAGTGGGTAACTTGAAAGAAGGATATATTTGGAAAATCATGTATGAGATGCTAGCTTGTAAATTCCCATAAAATATGTTTGTAACATTACATGGTGGCCTTAAGGAAACAAAAATTCTGTTTGGAAGACCACCATTTTTTTTTTTTTTTTTTTTGCAATGATATTTCATAATTGTACCTACTTACCCTACTAGTTAAGTTAACTGTCTCCTCCTCTCTTTAACCCAACACCAAACACCAAACACCATCCATCCACCCCTTTTTGTCTGCTGACCCAACATACGCATAGCAGCCACCCAAAACCATCATGCTGCCTTCTTAAACCCATCCCTAGTAGCCATCTGAACCCACCATCAATTTCTGCACTAGCCAGCACCCGCAACCCCTTCCCCCTCATCCGCTTTCCCTCTTGCCTTCTTCCTCTCTCCTCCTACACCAGCCTTCTCAAGTGGGGTGGGTAGTTTTAGGTGTTAAGGGTTTGGTTCCGAGTGGATTCGGTAGGGGTGGGGTGGATGGTTTTGGGTTAGGGTGGGTGGTTTGGTTTCAGGTGCCCAGGTGGGGTGGTTTCGAGTGGGGGTTTGAGGTTTGACCAGATTGGGGTAGGTGGTAGTGGGCCTAGTGGCTGTGCCGGTGGTGATGGTGGCTTGAGAAATATTTTGGTTTGGGAGGGAATAATTAATAGGGGTTAGGTCAGTCTTTTTATTAGATTCGGTTTGGGTTTATCCCATTGAAGCTTAGATAAGTTGGTGAATGAATTAGAACACACTAATCAATTTTGCCCTTCTCTAACGCTACTCAGGTTACCAGGTAGAATTTCCCTTTATATTTTCATCTGATTAGATAATGTGGTTATACAACATATGGTTATTTTTCTTTTTCTATTTGTATCATAGTCTTCTCTTGTGCACCTAGAGAAAACAATATGTCCTTCATGTTTCCGTTTCTTAATTATTTTGGTAAGTCTTGAAGGAGGTCACAGTTTTTGTAACACCCCGTTCTTTTGGAACCGGAAGCATTAACGGAATTACGCCTGAACGGGAGGCTACTTAACTTCGAAGTCAAGCATAACCTAGGTCTAAAGGTCATATTTAACTCATTCACACATCCAAATTAAGTTGTTTAAGCTAAGCACAAACTAAGTGAACAAAAGAAAATAACAAACGAACTTAAAACATAAACTAATCAATTACATTCAAAAGCCAAGGGCAGAACAACCCTTATCGGCTAAACAAAAATCAAACCAAACCAAATTCAAAGTACTTAAACAATCGACTAATAACAAAAGGATACAAGCCCAAAAGTTAGGTTCTAAACTATCAATACCCAACCCATCGTCATAGAGATCAAATAGACAAATGAAACCTATAAATTATAACAATGTTCCACAATCAGTGGGGAGCAACTAGCAGTACTCTCTCAATGAAGGTGAATATGGTGGGTTACTTAGGTGGAATATGTACAGTAGTAAAGCCTTGTGGCTACCGTGAAGAGTGAGGAGAAAATAGGCTAAATTAGCTCCCATGCAAGCCCTAAGTTAAGCTACACAAATGGGCTTGATTGAATAATTAGTTGAGGCTTAAGAATGGGATAAGGAAGCTAATAAACAAGCATATCTTAATTTATTTGGTCATGAAAGTGTTGAGGCGATATGCAAAACACGTTTAAAACGATAAAATGTATATGTTATATTATTGATATCTCAATAATAATTACAATAGTAATAATGAAAACAATAATTTAAATTACGATACAAAAAAATATATAAAGTTCATATTTTATAGAAAAGCAATATAAAAGGCGATATGCGAAACCAATAATAATTATTCATTTACAATGACCTAATTAATAAAAGGACATTATAATGAGTTTTATAAATATAAATTAAAGAATAGTTTGTAAACAATATCAATTCGATAATTGAGTTGACGAAATCATCCAATACCACTTTATACATCGATATTAATACGATTGAACGTAAAACGTCTTTAACCCATAGAATCATTTTATACCTATCAAATTGGCACTTCAGTCGAGGAATCACCCATGATGACCCGTATCAATTGCGATAAGTTAAATATTGAAATTACATATAATTTAGAAACACTTGCTGAATTGACGCTTAAGCTTAAGGAATTACCCTTTAAAGCTAATATCAATTCAGACATGTCAAATATAGTTGAAATGATTAAAACTCAAGTATAAAACCTTTTTAAATAATAATTTTCAATTGCTTTATCAAATATATTATAATTAAGGTTTCAAAAGTTTATAATGACCCTTAAATCAAAATAACGATTTTAATAATTAAATAAAGATTTCACTTTCGAAATTGGGATTTAAATAAGAAATTAGGTTTAATAGATTTAAATGCACATAAAATAGTGGTTCGAAAATACGGGGTGTTACAGTCTTTCTGTACACTGGTCTGAGTTTGCAGCTTTGGGACCTAATTTTATGTATTTTTCCCCTCATTTGGAATATTTCTTTCAAGTTATCTATATTTGAAGTAATGATCTAATTCTTGCTTTGGTGGGTAATCTGTTGTCTGTTTTCGTGTTTAGTTTAGGTTGCAGATTCTTTTTGATGCTAAGTTTCTATAATAATCATTATATTGGAAACTTCAAACCTTCAAGCCCTAATTATGTGTACCGTATTTGCAAATCTAATGCCTCTTATACTAACTGTCAATGGTACCAAAAATGTTACCCCATCCCCAGGTGAAACAAGATTTAGAATGTATGGATGAGTATGTGTTAATCAGAAAACTTTTAATTAGTTAGACACTGTGTTAGATGTACTTTTCTATGTACATTGCATATGCTAGAATGTACTGCATACCCTGTAACACTGGTTTATGGAGTTGCTTTGAATTATCTGCACAACTAAACTACTTGTGCATATCGCTGCTGTGTATAAATTCTGAAGAGTTTCGGCAGTGTCAATTTTTTGATTCTAGGTTTGTTGGGATGGAGTGGGTTTGTCCTACTACTCTTATGAACATCTTCAAGATTCTTATGTTAAGTTTGCTACACATACAGGGTCAAAACCTATTCGATGATAGCTTGTGAATCCTATGATTTCAGAGGAGTGATTGTATTTTCTAAAATCACTTTTCTTGCTGAGCTCTGTATAGAATAGAAATATATAATTCTTTTGATTAGCTTATATTTGACAAGCGTTTGGGCCTTTTCTTGGAATGTTTGTGTCTGCTAGTTTTTGGATCTTTTGTTATGTTTGTTAGAAAGAGCTTGTGATAATTGATACTCATATTTGTATTTTTCCGGTTTTGATTATTAGTTCTTTACCTTATCATGAAACTTTGTGAATCAATGTCGTCACAAATGCTATAGTTACAGATTCTGGATTTGCTCCGCCACAGGAGCAATCACAGTATGATCCCATCATCTCGTGTGTGAGATACGGGATTCGAAATTTGTATGCCAAATTTGCTGGAGATTCCCACAGGAGCAATCACAGAAGACCCTCTCGTGTATGGGATACCGGATGCCAAATATACGCAGACATACCTGTGAAATAGCAAAGAAACTGATTTCCCTAATTTTCTAAACTCAAAGTCTGTATGCAAATTCGTTTGTTAAAAATTACTGTTACACTTTTATTCAAGTCCATCTAATCCAAATTTTATGAGTAATCTTTGGAATTAGACATCTTTGAAAGTTGTCTATGTCCGTGGTGTATTAATAAGTTCTATAATCAATTCATCCAGGTGAACAAAGGTGTAGAAGCATCACTTGTTCAACTTCTTGAGACAGGATTTATGCATGCTGATCCACATCCTGGGAATTTGCGTTACACAAGTACTGGACAGATAGGGTACTCTTGTATATTCCAAGACAAGAAATGAACTTTATGTTTTTTACATCAATTAGTATGATACATATTTCTGCTGTCTCATTGCTAGGTTTCTTGATTTTGGACTCATGTGTCAAATGGAACGGAAACATCAGCTGGCAATGCTTGCTTCCATAATTCATATTGTGAATGGGGACTGGGCCTCTCTTGTTCAGGCTCTATCTGAAATGGATGTCATCGTCCCTGGCACCAATACTCGTCTTGTGACAATGGTATTTCACTTGTACCTGTCCCTCCATCATCTTTAGCCTAACCCCCTCCCTAAAGAAAAAGGGTACACAGACACACATTGTTACAACTCACCTTTTATTTTTATTTTTTTTTCCTATTTTTTATTTTTAATATGAATTATGATGCCTTTTTTTTAGGGTATTGATGAATGATTCAATTTAAGAAATACACCAGCTGCTTTTTCTTTACCACATAATTTGACATTGGCCCCTTCTGTTCTCACTAACCTTCAGACCAGTTCTAATCTGTCTAAATTCACAGGTGGGTATTATTGGGGGGGGGGGGGATGGATTTTGGAGAAAACAAGGTTTTTTCTAAAATATATATTTAATTTTTTTATAACTTAATGGGTTTTTGAACTGATTTTTATTGATTACTAAAGTTTTTTGTTGGGGGTTTAGGTGAAATTCATTATCTTCGAATTCTTCCAAATAGGATATACAAAACCGTCCTGTCATCGTGTAGTTTCTCAAAGAAACAGAAAAGAAAGTTTGAAAAAACCAGGTCAAGAAAATTAAGATAGAAGAGAAATTCAGTGAAGCTAGGTGTTTTCCATGAGCATGAGGCAAAAGAGAGTCTAAATCCTACTCTTCACTAGACACCCATTTTTAGAGTACCTATTATTTTTCTTCTGTCAAAGTACTTATAAAATTGCTGAATATCTGAGGTTCTTTTTGGCTCTAAAAGCTTGTTTAATGACTTCAAATGTTCCAAAACATTTACTGGATTGGTCATTCTAATCCAAACAACACGCCTGTCTGCTGTCCTATGTGTTTAATTTTTATTGCAAGAATAGGTGACTAGCTTCAAAAATAGAACTCCCTCCGTTCCCTAATATTTTTTACGTTTGGAATTATGCGCGGTTATTAAGAAATTATGTAAAGTTGAGATATGTTGGAATATTTCAATGATTGAAAGTACAATTTTATTGAAAAATACAATGTTGAACATGTGGGGTGAAGAAATTAGAGGAGAGAGAAAGTAATAATAAGTGTTGAAAAACTATTACAATAGTACAAAAAGTACCATAGCACATGGAAAAGTAAGAACTTTTGAGTATAAAAATTGTAAAACAAGGGTAATTTTGTCTAAAATTTATGACCAAAAAAGGAAAGATACTAAATGTAAAGAATAAAAAGAAACACCCTAAATGGAAACGTAAAAAACATTTAGGAACGGAGGGAGTACCATGTTTCAATTTACTAACTTTGTATTTCCTCCATTTCTCATTACATGCATCATTTTCAAAGTTTTAACTTTTACTACATTTTATTACTAATATGTGAAACTAAATGTCATTATTTTAAATTTTGGATTACTATAAATAATTAAATGTATAATTTCAAATTATCAGCTTTAAATATCTTTGCAAATATATAATAAATATAATGGTGTGCTATGGCAATCTTGAAGTATAAAGTGACATGCATTGAGAAGTAAAGTGGGTATAAGATATCGGAAACTAATTTTTGATCAAAGAAAAAAGCTACCTTAACCAGATTGGTCAAAGTTGGTGAACAGTTCTTAACATGTTAGCAGAAAAACCCGTTATTGCCCTTGAGTTGGTGAGGAGCACTTAAGCTGTTGTTTCTTACATACTTTCATCAGATTATGTTTGAGGTTGTAAACTTGTAATATATTTAGATGCATAGTGAATCACTTCATACTTTAGACGACTAGGTCATCACCTGAGAGAATATATTCTAATGGCTAGAAATTGGGATATTTGTTCACTGAATGAAAGACTGAAAATTACATTTTTTCACTGAATATATTCTAATGGCTAGAAATTAGGATATTTGTTCACATCGGCTTTCATCTAATTCTTAAAATGAAGAATAATTTATTTATTTTGTTTTAAACATAACTTTATTTTGAATGTGCAGGAATTGGAAAATACTCTAGGAGAGGTAGAATTCATTGATGGAATTCCTGATGTCAAGTTTAGTAAGGTAAGGTATTTTAATATAAGTATATAATTTGTTATGCACTATTACTCTTTAGATTAATTAAGCTTTGGTTGTTCTTGAGTATGTTTCTGTCAGAAGTCAATTTTGTCAAAGGCAATATTGAATTGCTTTTCACACCATTCTTTGAATTATCTTTTTTTGTTGAGCTAATGATACTCCTGGGGTTCAGGAAAAATGTGAACATGAAGGTGAAAAACATAAGCTGCATAAACCCACTGTTAAGGGTGGAATTGTGGTGTGAACAAGAAATGCGTAAAATTTTTATTTTTGGAGAAACAATTTCAAGGGCTTAGTCTTACGGTATTAGTGTTTCATGTAGGAAATCCATGTGAGTTACATATCCAAATCGACCAAATGATCCCAAGAAAATTTGACCCGCAAAGAAAATTAAAGTCAGTTTGAAATGTGGTGTGTTTTTTTACTTTATTATATCAAACAAACAGTATATTTGATCAAGTTTGGTCTAAAATATTAGTTACATTTTTTCCCATGGTTTTTCCTTTATATTTTGTTATTCTTTTTTGGTGAAGGTCCTTGGAAATATTTGGTCTGTGGCCTTCAAGTACAACTTTCGCATGCCAACATACTATACACTTTTGCTGCGCTCTCTGGCTTCACTAGAAGGTAATACTGTCATCATATCATTTTCACATTATGAAGTGCATAAATAAAAATAATAGCTACTTTATATCACCATCATATCATGGTTATTCCTTTTACAGACTATTGGTATTAATATTACAAATATTCTTGACAGCAGCCATGACATACGTTAAGCTTATTTCTAAAGCTGAGTGTTTTTTTTTTTTTTTTTTTTTTTTTTTTTTTTTTTTTTATAAATTTTTTTTTTAAAATTATTTATTTTTAATTGAAACTTAATCATCAAAGAACTTCTGAAATAGAGAGTTAAAAATTATTATTATTAAATTATAAATATATTAACTATAATGAAAGTATGTTATAGGAAAAAATTATTAAGGGCTTCGGTGTGGTAATTCAAAATCCTTTACAAATGAAAGCTGATAGTAATTTGAACTTGCTTTTTCATTTTAAGGGTTTGAACTCTATTGAGAGTTCTAGATATAAATCAACATCATGCCTCATCATCTTTGTTGTGCTTGTTAGCCATATCTCAAACTTATTTTCTAAAGTTTTTGAAAGCCCACGAGCATTGGGCCAAGAGTCAGTCTAGCTCTCGCTCGTGTCCAATTTCCTCCCATTTGGGTAATCTAAAAGTCAAAATAGATCCAATCCCAACCGTTTCTAGATATTAGACTCTGGATAATGATTTTATACCTATCGGTCACCTTCTAGGTTCTTTGAATTGGCAGAAGGAATAGTAGTTTGGAACAAGTCAGGAAAAAAAAGACTTTTTTTATAGAAAGGCAAGAAGGAAGAGTCAAGAAATTTCATAGATAGCCTTAGCTTCAAAATCCATAACCTATGTATTGTGACCATTGACATGCTCTACTAGGCCTGGATTCAACCTTCTGATTTGGAAGAACTTATTTAGAAATAAGAGAAGAAAAGGTGACCAATAGGAGTGTAAGCTTCTGATACAGACTAATCTAATTAGGGGATAATACATGAGCATGTTGTTTCCATTTGGTTAATGCTCACTTCATTTGATAATAGATAACATTATCTGTCAGGTTCGTAGTTCAACAAGGTCATTTACAAATTTAATTTGGAATTGATTCTATCCCAATTTAGTCTTCCAGACTTTCTTTCTTTTACCAGTTTATTATGTGTTTGGCTACATGATCCTTCCGTCCCTGAGCGTTCTAGTTTTGACGGTGATTATAAATTTAAATTATATAGGTGTCCCATTGCATTCTTGCTTTCCATAAGCACAAAACTTATGAAAACAATTGTCAAAATAATACAACCTTTTGGGCCTCTGCCAAAAACTAGTCAACCATTGGATTATCTTAGAATAATGTAACATTTAGGGGGCATTTGTCAAAATGAGGTTGGTAAGTTGTTTAATAAATAGGTTATGTGTGACACTTGTCACTACTTAACAGGTCTCAATATTTTGACCTTTTTTTTGGGTAATATTTAACTATCAAAACATTGATTCATTATTTTTATATTTTTTAAAAACTCTATTTCTCTTCTCCATCATCCTTTGCTCTCTCCTCCCTTGCCATAGCCTGCAGCCAACTGGCTACCCCTCCTCTAAACATCATCCCCAACTCTGATCACCTCTCTGTTCGATCCAATTCTCACTCTCTCTTAGCCTTTTTTATCCCTTTGTTTCTCCTACTTGCGAATCCACTTTGGCATTACCCAGAACTACCCAACATTGCAGCTATCTTTCTAAGCCTTGTTGCCATATATGGCAAAGAGCACTAGTTGTTGTTGTTGTTGTTTTATTTATTTATTTTTTATGTTTTATTTTTTATTTATTTTTGTTATGCAAACCACAAAATCAAAACAGAATAACTACTTATGGACATAATTGAAAGAGGGTTATTATTTTTAAATCATTTATTTCTTTATTAGAAAATAAATAATCAAACTTTCAGGGATGATAGTAAAAAACATGAACCCCAGCTTAGAAAAGGATGGAACTTTTCAATAGATGAGAGAGAAGATAGAAGTTGGTGAATCAGCTTGTTTACTGGTTGTGGTGGCAGAGTGAGGGTGTGCAACTGCAAAGAAAGTGAGGTGGCTTGGTGGTTGAGGTGTTGGACTTGAGATCGTGATGGAGTTGTGGTGCTAGGGTCTATTTTTCATGGTGGGAGGGTTTCCATTTCAGGATTAGAGGGTGGTTTTATTTGGTTTGTTGTTGTTTTGAATGACTATGTTTTAATTTAAGGTTAGTGGGGCAGTTATAGAAACTTTGCTATGAATTCAAAAGATATAATAGTGCATGCAGAAAACAAATATCATTTTTATATACATGCTTTTTTTATCTAATGTACAATACTGACTGCAAATTGGATCAGTCTGTCCAGTCGTAGCATAAGCAATTTGATGTTTTTAACAAGATGAAAGGGATGGTGCAAAATAAAAGTAGTAACGTATTGGGTGTTAGTTTTAGTCTTACATGCTGTTAACTGTAGTATATATCTTATTTAATTTCAATATTAAGATTGTATCTGATGTATCGTAGGTTTAGCTATTGCTGCAAATGATAAATTCAAGACTTTTGAAGCAGCTTACCCGTATGTTGTGCACAAATTGCTAACCGATAATTCTGATGCTTCGAGGAGAATTCTGCATTCAGTAAGTGTATATTTATCTAATATGCTATTGATGGGATTCATCCTACAGTAACTACATCTTGAACTTTCACTTTGCAAGGTGATATTGGCACTTCGATAAGACATATCTTTTGTGGATTTAGCTGCTAGGATTTAGTACAGAACAGAGTAATCTAAGCTAAGAAAACAGAGTAACAATAGCAGCCAAGGGATAGTTGTATTGCAAATCAGAGTAACTTACAATACAAGCCTTCTTTCAAGAGGAAGGTTCTCTCCACAACAAACTTCTTATCAAATTTTTTCATGCATTTCCCTTGACCCCAATCCCCTATTAATACCCAAAACTGAATAGAAGCTGCTAGCAAAAGGAATCAAATAACAAACTCCATAACTGATTTATTTCTAGATTACTATTTTACCCTCTCCCCTCCAAAACTAAATTCCCTTCTCAACCATTGCTAACATTCTTGGGCCTCCTTGCATAAGTAAAGCGGATACTAGACCTGGTCCGATTCCTTGCAATACCTCCCACCCAAATTTTCACCTTGTCCTCAAGGTGGAAAGCAGGAAACCTGAGGTTGACTTCATCAAAGTGCTCCCATGTAGCTTCAAGCTCCTGCAATCCCTTCCAATGAATCAACACCTCCACAGCCGATTGTGAATTACGCATCCCAAGGACAGCTTCAGGTTCCACTTCCAGCACCAAATCAGGTGTCAACTGAACAGGTAGGTTGGTTGGACGATGACCAGCACCAATAGCCTTCTTTAGCTGAGAGATATGAAATATAGGATGGATTTGGGCTCCTGGAGGTAACTGCAACTTATAGGCCACCTTGCCAATTTTCTGAACAATCAAATAAGGCCCATAGAAACGAGGAGAGAGCTTGTTGTTAGACCTTCTGACCAGAGACTTCTGCCGACAAGGCTGCAGCTTCAGGTAGACCAAGTCCCCCACCTTAAAATCTCCTGCACACCTTCCCTTGTTTTCATAGTATTGCATGTATACCTGAGCTTGCACCAGATGATATTTAAGGTCATCCAAAATGCGTCCCTCTCCTGCAGCTGCTCGTCTACTGAAAACACGACTTTGCTACCAGAGGTGAACCTGAGCAAATGTGGAGGGTCCCTGCCATACAAAGTCTTGATCGGGGTGTAATTTGTGGCAGTATGAAAAGAGGTGTTGTACCAATATTCTGCCCAAGGTAACCAACGAGCTCAAGAGTGAGGTTTCCCATTCACAAAACACCTTAAATAAGATTCCACCCCTTTATTAACCACCTCCGTCTGACCGTCTGTCTTAGGGTGATAAGATGTACTTCTCATAAGCTGGGTGCCCTGTAACCTGAACAATTCAGTCCAAAAAATAATCAAAAACACCTTGTCACGATCGGACACAATAGCTCCTGGTATACCATGTAACCTGACCACCTCAGTCATGAAGCGTTGTGCCACACTTTGAGCTATATAAGGGTGTTTGAGGGGAATAAAATGCCCATACTTGGTCAATCTATCCACTACTACGAGTATGGTATCCCAACCCAAGGATGTTGGCAACCCTTCAACGAAGTCCATTGATATGTCTTCCCAATGTCCGGAATTGACAAAGGTTGAAGAAGATCCAATGGTGATACTGTCGAGGCTTTGTTCTGCTGACACACTTAGTCACATCAGCCCTCATACCAAACCAGAACCATTCCCCGGCTAAACTTTGGTACGTCTTCAGATCACCAGCATGTCCTCCCACCAAGGAGTCATGATACTCCTTTAATAGCTTGTTGGTCAACTCACTGTGCTTAGGAATGACAACCCTTCCTTTATACTTCAAGACCCCATCCTCCAGAGTGAACCACTTGGGTGGAGAGTAACCATTTTGTATTTGCGAAATTAATCGCTGCAACACCGCATCCTTTTGTATGAAGGACTCTGCACATAATCCCATCGTAGGCCACATGAAGTCACAATAGAAGAACACTCCACCTCAGGTCTATGTTGTCTAGATAAGGTGTCATAATTTGCTAACCCACTTCTGGTAGGCCTGACCCACCTCTCTTTGCTCCAAGAGAAACTTAAAGACTCTTTTGGTCAGTGTGCACAATGAAGTGCATGCCTAGTAAATAATGCCTCCATTTCTCCACCGCAAACACAATAGCCATTAGTTCTTTCTCATTAATGGGTTTGTCACGATTACGCAGCCTAAGTATCTTGCTGAAGTAAGCTATTGGATGTTCAGATTGCAAGACTGCACCTACTCCATACCCACAGTGTCTGTTTCTACCACAAAAGGCAAAGAGAAATTAGGAGTAGCTAGGATTGGTGCACTCACCATGGCAGCCTTGAGTGTAGTGAAAGCTGTTGTAGCATCCTCAGTCCAACCGAAATTGTCCTTTTGTAGCTCATCCAGTCAAGGGTTGGGCAATCACCGCATAGCCTTGGATAAACTTGCGGTAATATCTTGTAAGGCTTAAGAACCCGTGCAACTCCTTCAAGTTGGTGGGAGGAGGTCAATCCACCATTGCTTGAATTTTGGAAAGATCAACTTCCACCTCAGCTGCTGAAATTACGTGGCCTAAATAAGCCACCCTCGACTTTCCTATTTCACACTTTTTGAAATTGGCATACAATTGGTGAGTTGCCAGAGTGTGTAACACCTGTTTCAAGTGTCCTCGTACAGGGACTATACACTAAAATATCGTCGAAGAAGACCAGGACAAATTTACGCAAGAATGGCTTAAACACTTCATTCATAAGATACTGAAATGTGGCAAGGGCATTGGTGAGCCCATATACGAGGAACTCGTAATGGCCCTTGTGGGTCCTAAATGCAGTTTTATGCACATCTTCAGGTGTCGCTGATGGTAGCCTGATTTTAAATCAAGTTTCTTAAAAACTGCCGCACCACCCAATTCATCTAGTAACTCGTCGATGATGGGAATAGGGAATTTGTCTCTTTGTCAGGGCCCTGTAATCGACACAAAATTGCTGTGAAACATCTTTCTTCTTCACCAATATCACGGGACTCGAGTAAGCACTAGTGGAGGATTGAATTATCCCTGCACTAAGCACGTCAGCTACTAACTTCTCTTTCTGACTGAGGATATCTATACGGCCTGGTGGGATTAGTGCCCTTGCGTAGCACAATTGCATGCTCAATGTGTCTCTTTGGGTAGACCATCAGGCATGTGAAACACTTGCTCAAACTATGGCTTGAAATTCTGTTGGGATTTTCGATAATACCTCAGATTTCTCCAACTAATTAAATTCAAGTAGAAATCCATGCCCCTCCTTTTGTAAATGTCGGATCATGGCTTTTAGGGAAATTCCCGTACGACCCAAAATGAGGATCACCTTTCAATGTGACTGTTTCCCCACTCAATTGGAACTTCAGAGTTTGTGTTTTATAATTGGTGGTGATAGTGCCTATCTTCTCCGGCCATTGAATTCCAAGTATCATGTCTGAACTTCCCACAGGGAGAATAAGAAAATCCTCCATTATTGTCACTCCTTGAAGGTCCAGCAAAGCCCCTTTATAAATGCCCTCCCCTTGAACCGCTTCTCCTGTGCCTAGAGTTACTCCGAAGCTCTTTGATTCTGTTGGTGGTAACCCCAATAAAATTATGCATTGCGCCGGGGTCAACCATGATTTCCGGCTGTGTTTCCACCATAGAGAACTTGCCGGAATCATCTCACTCCTCTTTGTCCTCCGTGAGCAAAATGCTCGACCCCGGCCGATGACAACGGTGGTTGAGTGTCCATTTTTTGCCACAGTAAAAACATAACCCCTGTTCCCGCTTCTGCTGAAGTTCTTTTTCCGACAAACACCTTATTTCAACGGTAGGTTTGTGGGTGTTGTACGTGTTTCGGTTTGTGTTTGGCTGGTAGGTGTTGGTGGAGGTGAGATTCAGGTTCGTGTTTAGGTTAGTTGTGGTTTGGTTTGTGTTTGGGTTGGGTGGCAAGGTTGGGTAAGGGGTACGCCAATTGGGCAGGCTCCCAATTGTTTAAGGCCGTGGGCTTAACTTTTTCTTTTCTTCAATCCTCAAGATCCATTGCGTGGTCCATCGTAACCGGGTCGAGGATCCAGACTTCAACCTCGATATCCTCCTTCAACCCATTAATAAATTGCCCCTTAGCAATCTCCTCAGGAACACCATCAATTAGAGCTAAAAGCTCGATGAAATGGTGACGGTCATGGGGCTGGTGCGCGAGCCACGTGGAGCGTGCCGGTGTCGGTGGATCTAAAACGACGGAGTAACAACTTTTTCTACGCCTTCCACAACCGCAAGGGATGTCGACGGTGCTCCCATTTATACCAGAGCAATGCGTCGCCGTCCGGCGCAACTATGGCGGCCTCGAGCTGATCCTCCTCGGTAAGCCGATATAAATGGATGAAACGCTCCGCGCGAAGGATCCAACCATTTGGGTTAGAACTATCAAAGAGAGGCAAATCGAGTTTGCGCAACTTCCAGTTCGATTATCCTCCTTGAAAACCCTCGTTACCAAAATGCACATGAGGTTGCGACGCAAACGGATTGTTCCACTGGAGATGTGGTCCATTTACCATGGCTGAACGTAGCTCCGATCGAAGCTTATCGTTCTGATCTCACGAGAAACCCGATTTGGCATACCAGCTACCTCCTGCTCCAACAACTCCAAACGCTGACCATGATTCAGGCGGGCCATCTTCTTCTCCGGCTAAGATCGGGATTGCTTTGATACCAATTTGCTAGGATTAAGTACAGAACAGAGTAATCTAAGCTAAGAAAACAGAGTAACAATGGCAGCCAAGGGATAGTTGTATTGCAAATCAGAGTAACTTACATTACAAGCCTTCTTTCGAGAGGAAGGTTCTCTCCACAACAAACTTATCAAAATTTTGCATTCATTTTCCTTGACCCCAATCCCCTATTAATACCCAAAACTAAAGCAAATAACCGACTCTAGAAGCTTCTAGCAAAAGGAATCAAATAACAAACTCCATAACTGATTTATTTCTAGATTACTATTACCCTCTCCCCTCCAAAACTGATTTTCTAACCAAAATCCCTTCTCAACCATTGCTAACATTCTTGGGCCTCCTTGAATAAGTAAAGCTGATACTAGGCTTGGTCTGATTCCTTGCATTAGCTTGGAGATAATCTTTATCACAAACACTCCCTTAATTCATACTTACATAGTAGCTAGCTTAGTTTGCACTTAAAGTTTGATGAAAACCGAGAACTTGTTACTTAAAACTTGTGTGTTTTTACTCCTAAAATGGGGTTTGTTTTCCTTGGATACTTTTGTCCTTCATCAGTCGAAAATTCGGTTTTATTTTGTTTGTCTTCTTGAATGAAAGGGCTTTGTGATCAATATGCCCTACTTATGTCAAAGTGTACTTTCCAACTGCGCCTTGTCTTGAATCACATTTTAGACTTTAGAGCCTAATCTTGATCAAATATTCTTCCGTATACCAACGCCACAAAGCCAGGGAGGGAGAGACAATGTGACTGAATCAGTTTTTAGGTAGTAAAAGGAAATCCATGAGATGTTGACCCTTTCAGTACATGTTACAACTTACAAGTAACTTTGAATTTAGGATTGTTGCATAATATAAATGCACGGTTAAAGCCAGATGTGCAAAAGGGCAAAAGGAATCAATAAGAGAAAAACTTAAACTGGTCTTGGCATAGTTTATTTTTCTTTTGGCAAAAGCTATATATAAAGTTGTACAATGTGTAAATGTCCATCTTAAAATTAATGCATGTCGTTTGCATGTTTGTTCCACATTCATTTTGCAATATTAACCTTCTGACCGTGCCATTAATATGACATATGCAGCTTCAAAAGTTGACCTATAAGTTACCATGATTAGCTTATTTGCTGTTTCACTACGGCATATAGCCCTCATCTAGTTTATAGCCCTTATCTAGCTTATGTTTTCAGACAAAATATAGGTCATCTAATATTAGCCTTGTGCTGGCCTACTCTTGCATTAAGATGATGCATTAATTTTTAATGTGTTCATTTTCTGCAGGTAATTTTAAATAAAAGGCGTGAATTCCAATGGACGAGACTTGTTCTTTTCTTGAGAGTAGGTGCAACCAGGTACAACATTTTGCTTTTCAATGACAATGTATTTGACTAAAACTGTGTTTTCTATGTTTGTGATGATGAGATGAAAGTAACGCAAGTTATTTTGTATAACCTCAAACGTTACCAGTACTAGAAAAAGTATACTTGAAAAATCAAGATTTTGATGAGTAGTGAAGTTTTTAACTGTGATATGCTGTATATCTACACTTCCAAGTAATCCAAACATCTCCTTTGGAATGAGATGAAGAAGTGTTATTCAATCTTGTGGCGTCTTAAGTTAGTTACCAGCGTTGCTTAAATCTAGTAGAAACTTTCGTATTAAATTAACATACCTAGTACATTCTTACACATTGTTTTCTTTAAAGAATTCCTTCTCATGCATCTACTTCGGCTTTGAAATATGAATTACCAGAAAGGTTTCTGCGTTTTGTATTGTGTGAAAGCACTTTATGGTGTGGCTATATAGTAAATTAATATGTTTAAGCAATCTAGGGTTTACCTATCAGTTGATCATTTAGCATGCCACACGTTAAATTAGTGCAAACCAACCACTGTAAGAGTTATTCTGTTAACGAAAGAAAAAGGATATCTCTTTTGATTTTCCCAATTAAAGGCAGCAGTACTCTTTTGATTCTCTTAAATTTTCAATTAAAGGATATCCCAATTAAAGGATATCTCTTTTGATTCTCTTAAGTTGCTTCTCTTATATATACATTTATTGTCTCATGTTGCTTCTCATGTTTATACACTTGATAGCTTCACTTTATAATTTTTTTGGTGCACATGTTCTTGTTTTATTTCAGTCGATGATTCTCATTTCCTCACAGCCATGTTTTAAGTTTAGGTATCTGGCTCACACTTCTAAAGTAAAATTATTACTTAACAAATATGGAGCACTATGTATCAAAAAGTTAATTGTTACTTGTATATTATTTCATTTTTTTATACTATTGATATTTTTTAATTTTAATAATTGGGGTCTCTTTAATTACTGATAATTTATGCAATTCTTCTAAATTTTCTGAGAGATATACATCTGGCCTTGTTGGAAGTACTTAATGTTCTGTGGGGGCATCAACTGGCAGGAAACTCTTGCCCGTTCTGGAGTCTGCTAATGATGGGTTATCAGGATCCTCAAGTAGCAATGATAATATCTTTAACGTCGCAACTTTTGTCTTAAAGCTGCTACCGTCAAAAGATGGTACTGTGCTTAGAAGGCTGTTGATGACTGCAGTAAGTTACTCCAGCTTGATTGCATATAATAACTTTTATAGGTTTTCTTTTTACTTTCATCCTAATGCACGGTTGCATATAATTACGTTTTTATTACTACTTTTTACTTTCATTCTGATGCAAATGAGAAAAGTTAACTGTCAATGTAAGCTATGATTGAGTAGTGTAAGATTTTTTTGAAAGGAAAAACAGTTTCAAAATAACCTTACAAATTGGTTATACCGAATAGTACACAGGTGACACTTTTTCCCTTTTGAAAAATGATAAAGATCTCCCCCCCCTCCCCCAAACAAAAAAAAAATTGATGGGGCAGGAAGATGGAAGAGACCTGAAAGAACAATATATACTAGAGTCGTTGTCTAGGTCTAATTTTGGGATGCTATAGTGGAAATTTATTGTGAGAAGTAATCCTTTGTAGGTCATATGACTGCAATATTGTCATTCAAGGAGCATTATATTCGAAAAAGCGGGTGGTTTATTAATATAGCGATGAAAAGCTATGAGAGTTGTGCAATTGATTTTGTGTAATTGAAAATAGATGAGCAACGCCCGTTTTCAGGCTTTGAATTTGCCTTTTCACAAATAGTTTTTTGAAAATTTGTCAAAACCAGCTGTTATATTTATTTTATTCTATTCTATTTATTTATTTGTAAATAAGCCATCTTAATCATATTTTTTTATTTTTTTTTATTTTTGTCAATACCTTTAACTGGATTTCAAACTTTTACTCTCTATTTCTGACATTAACTCCCGCTAAAATTCTCAATTTATGTCTTGTCCTTGGCTGCACCACCACCTCCTTTTCCCTCTTCACCACCACTTTTTACCTGTCCCCCACCGACATCGCAACCTTCCTTCTCCCCAAACCCCCTCCCTCTTTCTTTCATTTAATCTTTATCCTCTCCAATTATAATTGTTTGGTGTGTTTTCTGGGGGATTGAGGTTTTAGGGGAAGTCTCCCCACCTCTCGCTTTCTCTCTCTCTCTTAGTTCTAGTTGTTTGGTGGGTTTTCTTGATAATTGAGGTTGATTTAAGGTATTTGATTCATTTTTAAGTAGTGTAAGTTGTTTTGGGGTGGGTGGAGTTGATTTCGAATTAAATAAGGTGGTTTTTGGTAAGGTTAGGGTTCATATTGGGGGTAGATGTATATATGGAGGTAGTTGAGTGATTTAAAGGGGGTCTTGGTGGGGTTTTTTACGGGAGGTGATTGATTTTAGAGGTCTTTGGTTGGATTTAGGATAGTTCAATGGGGAGGCATTGGTGGGTCAGTTGGTGGTCTAGTGGAAATGGGTGTTTTTAGTGGTCACGTGCATGTCACGTGGGTGGTCAACACTTGAATCAGGATAAGGTGCTAAAAAAATTAGTTAAAATATTACAAATAATATACTAATATACTCTCTCTGTTTTTTATTACTTACTCTAATTGCACTTTTCACAGTATTCATTTTGACTAATGTTTCTGATCAAAGATTTACATCGGCATATGTGCCCGGGAGAAATGGAGTAAGTAATTAAATACGGAGGAAGTATATAATAAGGGGAAAAACCCCAATTTTGAAGGTGGTTTTCTTACAAATTTTCTATAGTTCGTAGCTGTATGACCATTTCTTGAAAAGTAACTATCTCCTCATCCACTTGCTTTCTCCCCCCCCCCCCACACACACACACCCAAAAAAAAAAAACACAATAAAGAGGGAGAGTGGATGCTCAATAGTTTTGCTCAATATCTATATCAGTAGAGTAGAATTCAATTGCATTTTTTAAAAAAAAATCATTTTCTTATTATATATTCTTCTGAACAGGACGGTGCGTCATTGCTTAAGGCATTTCTTTCACCAGAAGCTGCTGCTGTCCGACAACAATTCTGTAGGGCAACTGCAGATGTGCTGTACCAGTGGATGGCGGGAAATATTGTAAAGGATCCTTATCTAACCACATCTTCTAACTCATTTGCAGCCAACTGCAAGTTACTCATAGCAGACCGTCGCCTCAAAGTCGTGTTTAACAAAATACTTAATGATGCAAAACGGGATTGGTTGTTAATGCTTCGCTTTTACGGGACATCTTTCGTCATGTTTGTTATTGCTTCAGCTATGGCTTGCCATCGGTTAATGATTTCTCTCTCAAAAAGTCATGCAAGTCGATTATCATTTTCTCCTATCCAAGCCGTTGTCAGCACTTAAAAAAAACATTTGCACATTGTAAGAACTATCGACAACTGGTTATTGGGGCCAATACAAATTTGTCAATGAAGTCGACAAGTTTGGCCTTCCGAAAAAGGGACTGTAGTGATTAATTTCACCTTAAGATCAAAGAATACTGTAAGTTCCTCAAAGCCAGGGTACAAGCATGCAGCTATCGTGCTTCATTTCATGTACACCGTACTAATCTACCTTTTGCTGAATGCTCTAGGGACTTGCATAACACCTCATTATCAAGAAAGATACTAACCTGTATCTCTATAAGTCTATTTGATTAAAATTTCTTACTGTCAAGTTTGGGAGATCAAAATTTTATATATAAATATATACTATGTATAACTGCTTTTTCTAGGTATCTGAGTTCCGGTGATCTGATTGATCTTACTTCCTTTGGGACTGATCTGGAGATTGAGCCTGACAAAATTTTCAATTTCTGCGAGTCATGTTAGCCTTTAACTAGTGCAGTAAGTGAATAACTTAGTGGAGCTACACTCTCTTCCGTGGTCTCGACCCGGGACCGAGCACATCCCCTGGTACTCCCACCCGCAGTTTCCTCCCGTGATGGGATATGCTGTGTGGGCCTCGATTACCTCTTAAAAAGATTGTTAGTCTTTAATTACAGAAATTTAACTTAATACTTTGGTGCACTTTCCCTATCTAAGACTTCTATTTAAAGGGTTTTGAAAAATAGCAGCTTTAGAGTCCTAATACCTTCAATTGAAAAAGATAACTTGCAGTCTATTCTTGGGATGAGCAGAGGCAATCTTCCTTTCAAGTATCTTGGTATTCCCTTGTCTTCTAAGAAGTTGACCATTGCTCAGTGTAGACCTTTGATTGAGAAAGTTACTACAAGAATTGATAATTGGTTTGCTAGACATCTTTCTTATGCAGGAAGATTGCAGCTCATTAGAAGTGTCCTTTTTGGTATTCAAGCTTATTGGGCTTTAAATCTTCATTCTTCCCAAAAAGGTGCTTTAGAGAAATTGAGTCTAGATTTAGGGTGTTTATTTGGACTGGTAAGAATACCTATTCTAAGAAAGCTCCTGTTTCTTGGAATCATATGACTCTCCCTAAAGTTTGTGGTGGTTGGAATATCACTCTACTGGGTGATTGGAACAAAGCTGCTATTTGTAAGATTCTGTGGGATTTGACTCATAAATTTGATGATTTATGGGTTAAATGGGTTCATACTCACTATTTCAACAACAAGAATTTTTGGTCTGCAGCTATTCCTAAAAAATGCACTTGGGTTCTAAAGAAGATTCTAGGGTGCAGGAATATTATTGACAGCATTGGTGGTTGGCCTGTAGTTATCCACAATGGCAAATTGAGTATTTCTAGAGTCTATTCTAAAATAAGACCTCTGATAAAGTGAGTTGGAAGAGACTTGCCTGTAACAACCAAGCTTCTCCTAAGAGTATTTTCATAGCTTGGTTGGCTCTGCAAAATAGAATGGTGACTAAGGACAGGCTTATTCAATGGCATAATAACTGTGATCCTTTGTGTTTCTTTTGCCAGAACTGTGATGAGAGTGTTGCTCACTTATTTTTCTCCTATTCTTACTCTAGAGAAATTTGGCAGAAAATCCTTGATTTGCTGAAAATTCAGAAGACTGTTTAGAGTTTTGATCTTGAACAACAGTGGGCTACAAGGTATTGCAGGAAAGCTAGCAGGAAGTGCAGGCTTAATTTGATGTTATTTGCTGAGACTGTTCATAATATCTGGCTTCAGAGAAACAATCTAATGTTTAATGGCAGCTGTCAACCTGCAGATTTGGTCTTCAGAGATATTGTTTATAGGGTTGGTGTTAGGTGTTTGTAGACACCTAAAAATGTCTCCCCAAAACCAAACCCGATGATGAACACTTTCACCGCCATTATTGGTCGGGTTGAGTATTTAATCTTGGAGTGCTTAAATCCATATTTCCATTTCATAAACCAACCCAAATTCTAGCTCATTTCCCCAAACCATAACTTATTTTTTTCTTTTCGTGCCTTTAAACCCAAAATAATTTATTTCGTGTCCCTTAAAATCATTCATTTCGTGTCTTTTTATAAAAAATGTTTAGTCCAGTTTAGTTTGGTCCATAATCTGGGTCCAATGATTTAATAGTTATATGGGGCTTTAAAAGATCTTTCTAACGATATATTATAAGCGCAAATCCGAGTTATAACGAATAAGTTATGGCCAAAATATTAAACTGAGCCCAAACCGAACCTAAGCCCACCTTACCTACGACCTAATGATCATGTGGAGGGTCCAAATGATTTAATCCAATTCCTAAACCAATTAGGATTAATTGGAAGTTTCTACAAGTTTCTAAAAGATTTTAATTATCCTTTTTGAAAAGGTAAGATTAAAGAGTTTGAAATTGAATAAAACTCCTTTTTTTTAAAGTCCTAATTTTATTCGAATTGAAAGACGTTCAAAGATAGACATATATTATTTTCGTGCCTCGTATTTTTTATCCAAATTTTATATGATTGGATAGCCCTTGAAATTATCTTTCCAATGATATATTATAATATCAATTCCGAGCTATAACGGAAAAGATATGAATAAAATGTCAAACTCTATCCAAAACTAACACCGTCTCACTATTTCGGCTATATCTTTTGTTATACAAAATATTTTTATCTGATTCTATTGGGTTAGAAAGTAGACTTCAAGAGCTTTCCAACGACATTTTATTCATCTTATTTCGATTTCTGGATCAATAGATATGATAAAAACAAAAACTGCAAAAATTGCTGTCTATCGCAAGAGTTTTATCCGATTCGAATTCTTATCTTTTCTTCATTCTTCGACCCCTCTTTTTTCCTTATAAATAGAGGTCATATCCCCTTTTTTAATCATCAACAAGCTTGATCATAAAATAATTATCTTCTCCCTCTTTAGCCAAAATACTAGCCATCCTATTATCTCAAAATACTTCCCTTAAGCACTCCAAGGAGTTCATACTTAACCCGAGGTTCCGTCCTTAAACCAAGGCGTGAAAGGTATAATTAACTGAGGGTTTGGACCAAATCAAATCTACTTTTTATTTAATTTAATTTAATTATTTCAATTTGATTTATATTTTAATTAAATTTACTAACAGTTTATTCATGATGTAGCAATTTAAAGGAACTCGCAGAATGTGAGTAATTAATTAATTTAATTACTCTTATTTTATTTTAATATTGCTAGTATCATGATTAGGTTAATTTATTATTCGATTTAACTAACATTATTATTGTTGAATTGCTTCCAATATTAATGTTTATTCTATTATTGTTATGATCACTATATTGCATGTTTAAAGGGAATATGAAATTGAAAATCACGCCTAATAAGATAATTTGGACAATTGGTTTAGGATCCTTTTTAATCTTGTTGTTTAATCAAGTGATCACGATATTTTAGAATTATGTGTTGCATTAATATTAAACCAATTTAGCTTAATAATAGATTGGAGCAAATTAAATATTTTATTTGCATGCCTTTGAGATCGCAGGAATCACTTTTCACTATAAGAATCGAGTAGAGGTCAATACGGGCGAATGTGACTCCATGACTCACTTCGTACCACCATCCCCGATCCTCCTTTCGTGGTTTCGAACCATATGGAGTTAGTAATCTCATGGGTTATGAATGGGGTGTAACCTTCACGGGTCAATCGTTATTGCCTATCGTTGTCCCTTATCGTGGTTCCCTTTTTATGATCCTTGAACGGAATACAAGTTCCTTAGAAACTTGTTGGCGGCTCCCTACTTTGCTTTGTCCCTAATCGTAATGTCAATTCCCACTTCCTATGATTTCCAAGCATATTCACACATGCTTTAACGTAGGCGCACTTCGAACGACGCCTACAATGTACTGAGTTTGATAGAAATTTTTTGTATCTGTGATGTTGTGGTCTTGAGTTTGGCTGCTGTTTTGCCTACTCTGAGTCCTTTTGGCTGTTGGAGTTTCAGGCTTGTCTGTCTCTACTTGTTGCTTTTGTGTGTCTTGTCTGGTCCTTGTTCCCAGAACCCTTCCTAGAAGGTGGCTGGGAGTTTGAGTCCAGTTCTGGTCCTTGTATCTGTCTGGCACCCTTCCTAGAAGGTGGCTTGGCAGTCTCTTGGATCTTTTGGTGTTTGTGTGGCCTCTTTGGGTCTTGTGGTGTTGGTTGTGAGTTATGACTTAGCTCATTGTAAGTTGTAACTTTTCCTCTTTGGTAATAAAATTCTTTATTTACCAAAAAAAAAATGTAGTGTATTATATACCCAAAACTCTCAAGGAAACAAGAACCATATAACCACGGTGAATCCGGGAAGCGGCGGAGCTCCGACCAGCAGCGACGAGCACCGGGACAGCAGCAGCGGCGAGCTAACGGAGAAAAATGAAAAAAAAGAAAAAGAGGGGAACATAGCAGCAGAAACGCCGTGTCACGGTACCAGGAAACGTGACACGGTGACATCAACCGTGCGCCAGTCCGGAGCTGACGTGGCGCGACAGTTTTTGAGATGAAAAATAAAAAATTTTAGGAGAAAGGAAGAAAAGGGAGATGAAAATGGTGAAAGTGTAGCATGAAATGGCAAATGGAAGTTCAAATTTAAAGACAAAAAGCATCCCGTTACATCCCGTTTCCCGTGCCACGGTTTTCGTTACCATGTAACGGTAATGTATTGACGTGGCACACGTGCACTGGACTGATCAAACATACAAGTTGACCAATTTGCAGCCAGAAAATTTCCCGTGTCACGGGATGTTACTCCGTGTGCCGGGGAGCATTGCCATGTCGCGGGATTGTTCCTTCGTGACATGGTGGTCTCCACGTGTCCTGCACATTCCTTGAAGTTGTCAGCGAATATTCCTTGCATTTTGACCAAAATTGCATGATTTTCCGTACAAATTGGACGGTTAGTTTTTCAGTAAAATCACGTGGAAAATTCTAACTGACATTTAAAGGGTATCAAAATTACTATTTTGCCCCTAGCAAGCGTCAAAGTTAATTTGCCGACGTTTTAAACACCTAATATGGTCGGATAGTCGATTTGAAGGTGTGAATCATTTGCGGCCCACGTTCAGGGATAATCGAACCATCATACACTTGCAAATTTCAGCGATTACAGTAGTTGTCGGCTTTCCTTAAGCATGGAAAGCGTTATCGGTGGATTTTTCTTCAAGTATAGAAAACCACCAAGTCGGCTTTGCTCAAGCATGGAAAGCGTTATCGGTGGATTTTTCTTCAAGTATAGAAAATCGCCAAGTCGGCTTTCCTCAAGCATGAAAAGCGTTATCGGTGGATTTTTCTTCAAGTATAGAAAACCACCAAGTCGGCTTTCCTCAAGCATGGAAAGCATTATCGGTGGATTTCTTCAAGCATAGAAT